CGATCTGGTTGACGTGGATCTTCCTCTCGAGAGACAAGGGTACGTCCTTCGGAATTCTTGGCTCGTGAACGCATCCCGCCGCCGACCTGTCTGCCCATTGTTTTCATAGAGTCGCGTTAGATGAAGAATTTAGATCGAATACGCGCAGTGTTTCTTGCTGAAAGTTTGAAAGCATGGTGGATGGTGTGCGAGATATTTTTGGCAGATGCGAGAGAAAATATGCGAAGATTTACCGTAATGTCTTATCTTGCATATTTAATTCAGATCTAATTCAAATTCAATTAGAAACTACGCTGACGAATAAAAAGTACATTTTCATTGCGGCTTCTCATTGTGCAAAATAAATTTCTCCTCTTTACTTTCGCAGATGGTACCATGGATCCATTACGAGAATCGAGGCAGAAGCTGTTCTCCGACTTCTCAGAGAAGGAAGTTACTTGGTGAGAAACAGCGAATCGACCAAACAAGATTACTCTTTATCGTTAAAGTAAGTTATACTCGACTTGATGTATTACCAGTTTTGGTCGTCCGATCTTCTTTCTTTTTCAGAGAAACTTTCCAACAAATAGATTCTCTTCATAAACGAAGAAGTGAATTTCTAGCTCCGTTATCTCGTTACTTTCTTCTTTATTTTTAATGATGCGATGAATTAGAAAGTAAAAGATTAAGAAAAAATCTTATTATATTATATGTTAATATATAATTATATTATAATAAGATATGATATATTACTTGTTCTGCATGCGTTTACAAGTTTAAAGATCGCAGATTTAACCCTCAAATAGTATCATAGAATCATAAATGACTGTAGTAATTTATGTTACTTGGGTATTTTTTTTTTTTTTTTATAAAATACAATATAAAATCAAGCAACATGGCTCTCAATGTCTTACTCAGTAGGAGTAAGAATTGAATGCAATTTGTTCGTTTGAGCAAACGTTCGGTACAACACTTATTCTATTTTCGTTCTAATTTAAAATTGGACGCACGACTTGACCGTGTTCGAATAAACATTTTCATTTGCAGAAGTGCCCGTGGTTTCATGCATATGCGTATCCAAAAGAACGAGGAGCTGAACGCGTACATACTGGGCCAGTTCAGCAAGCCGTTCGACAGCATACCGGAAATGGTTCGTCACTTCAGCGTGAACCGTCTTCCGATACGTGGCGCCGAGCACATGTGTCTTCTGCATCCAGTTATAGCTCAGCTTTTGTAGCGCATCTATCGTAGCGCCGTTTAAGGCGCTCCCCGACACTTTTTGATAACCCTTTTACCTTCGAACAATACTCACAGAACCTGAACGAGTACTCCGAAAGTTATTTATAAGAGAGAGAGAGAGAGAGAGAGAGAGAGAGAGAGAACTGTTGTGCATGGGGAAACGATTCCCGCAGGAAAATCTAGAGTGGCGAACGCGAAAACATTTGGTACTTCCATTGAAAATTCTCAATCTGGCAAACTTTTTTCCCGAGCTTCCGTGGTCGAATCAAGAGGGGAGACGAAGGGACACCGATCGATCGAGACAAAACGAAACTTTATTCAGGATAGAGAGGATAAGACAAAACAAAACAAAAAAGGAAAGAGAGAGAGAGAGAGAGAGAGAAATAAAAACACAGTACAAAGCTTGCAATCGGTGAGAAGTTTCCGTAGATTTAGCGAGCGACCTTCGAGTTAATCCTGTTCGTTTACGTAATCCTTTAACGATCGCGCCGACGCTTGTTTCCACGTCCTGGCGGTAGCCTTTATTAGCCGCGAGAAAAAAAGAATTAGTTGACTCCACGTAAGATATTCATTGCGACGCTTCGACGATATTGTTCCGACCCTAGCGACGAGCTTTCGTTGTTTCGAATATTCGACGAATATTGGAAGGAAAAGAGGCGAGAAAAAGAGAAGGATCAGATCCGACAAACATACGACGAATGTTTTTACAGTATCTGTGCAGTGTATCGTCTTCCCGCAAAACAGCATCGCGCAAATCTACCTCCTCGTTAGAGGTGTGCATGTAGTGTGTACGTGTGCGTGTGTGTGCGTGCGTGTGTGTGTGTGTGTGTGTAGAATTTATTTTCCAGCGAGACGGATCAATTCCTTTCGCTCGATTGATCGACGAAGCGGCTTTCGCGAGAGATTGCGTGACAGAAACGAGGGCATCGACAAGGAAGGGGGGGAAAAAAAGGGAAACTCTGGATTTTCAGGAGGATTTCAATGTGTAAAGAGCGTGTGTAAACGTGTACATGTATAAGATATCGGGACGAGAGGCAGAATCGTAATTGTCCAAGTTGGTGGATCGTCGTGGACTATGGGATGTAATACCGAGGCAGAGTTCGGGGCAGCACCGTCTAAGAGCTTTACAAATATGGTTGTTCCTTGTGCTCGTGGCCGTTTGCGAGAAGCCACGAGTTTCGCGTAAGAAACTATCGATGGGATCAGAGTCGTCGTACTACAAGCTGATAATCTAGAGAGGCGTGTGATGTAACGCGTACTTACTTAGATTTAGGTACACGCGTGGTTGGCCAACGTCGGCCGACTGCTGCGACGAAGGAGCTGGAAGCCAAAGAAAAGAGTCGAGCCGTGTTCTCGTTCGTGCGAGGAAGAAGCAAGAGTGAACGAGAGGAAGCGAACGAAGCGACACCGAAGCGGCCACCGGAGCCGCGATTCCAATTGCCAAAGTTTACTGCTTTACACTTCATCGTGTAATCATTTAGTCAGGGTTTGGTTGTTCGTCGCCGTTGATAAGCGATTAGGCCCGGTAACAGTAAATTGATCGCCAGTTTACGTTTTTACGTTGCGTGCACTGCGAATCGAAACCAACAAAAGAAAGGGAAGGAAAACGCAGACGCGAACGCGTGATGATAATATTTTTTCGTCCGGGTTGACCGGGTAGAGAGAAGAAGAGTAGGAAGAGTGACAGAGGAGAATGACAGACGCAGAAGCGAGTAAAGATGATCGATGTCAGCCAGTCCGAACCACCGATGGCTCGTCACTCGAGTCATCCGTCCGACAGTCCCTTATTTTTGGGAGATTTTTGCGAAGAGGAGGGAGGCAACCGATACATATTTTTTCATGTGATATGAATTTGTTACAGAGATAGCCTAGTTTTCACCTGTGATCTGTTACTTAGTTCCCTTTATTCTTGTCTGTTGGTCGCTGTGTGCAATATTCTCGTACGTACGATTATGATAACGATAATAATAACTGATAATGATAAATGATTAGCGTGATAGTGAATTAAACGATTAACGATAACGGTATAGCTGTTAAGTCGCTATTGTAATTTGGGTAAATCAGCAACGACGCGCGATTCAGCGCGACACGAGAGACGTCCGTGGTGTTACAATAATTATCTCGAGGTAAGGATTCGATTCGCAACGGTTGTGAGCGAGCATTTCTGTTGGTCCATCTGCGATTCCGAAATGGCACGTGATCCAAAAGATCTTTCGACACTTCTTTTCGTCATCGATTAGACGTGATCTAGAATCCACATCACACGTAGGCCAGTGTGCCATAATAAAAGTGTCGGCAGTGTTTTTCAATCAAGTGAAATGATTTTCCCATTTTACGTTATTTCGCTGGCTGATGGATACATTCCATTCCTATCATTTCGCTGGAAATCACGCGCGAACGTGATACTAGTCGTAGCGTGTTTATTTCTAATTGTCTAAGTTAGGCTAACGCCTCTCTCATCAACGTTGTATTTGGCAATCGTATTCCTTCGATTAGGTTTCGAGTGTAATACGTACGCGTATTTTAAGCTGCCAGTATTATTAACTGTAATCGATAATGCATATCCATGTTAATATTTAAGAAACATTATATTGTCGCTCCCCTGCCCTTAACGAATGATTATGAGAAAAGGAAAAGAACTATAATCTCTCTGTACGTACATATTTATTTGGCGTTCTATTTATTGCATTGTATCGTTCTAAGTCGATGATCTTACTGTCATGGTTCCGTGTATACCGTTGATTTTAATCGTAAGATCATAGCGTGGTAATTCGTGGTAATCTTATTATTATTAGATATTTAGTAAAACGTAGAGTAAAAAGTAAAAAAAAAAAAAAAA